GCTTAACCCGCATGGACATGCTCATTTCTTTGCGAGTGAAGTTCCTCTCATCCTCCCTGGGAAATATTTAATGGCAAATCAATTTGGCTTAGAATTAGTTGCATTGAAGTACATGTGATCTCGGCGTTATGACTGTAACTGGTCAGTATTTCTTTGTACTTTATCCTCACCCCATTGACCTTCTTTGGATGTTTTGATGTTAGTCATATTTTCCGACCCTCATCTGATTATCACGTGATCATTTCAGGAGGCTCAAAACATTTCCAAGCATCCTCTTCTTATTGTTCATGTCTTCTCATGCAGCGACTGATGATCCCGATCCTTGGCTGGGCACCGAAGGCTCACCGCAGTGTGAAAACCCTCAGCAGAGGTTGCGCTGGCAAGCCCATTTGGAGTTCACGCATAATCACACAGTGGGCGACCTCACCTGGGAGCTCATCGCGCCGGTCCTTCCACGCTCCGAACGCCTGCGCGCACTCGTACTCGGTGGCATTCCTCATAGCATGAGGCCACAGGTCAGCGCCTTGTGCTATATTGACCCAAAATGGGAAATTCGCGACTTTTTCAGAGAAACAAACGACAACGCATGTCTTTTCGCTCTGCCAGTTATGGATGCGTCTGTCTGGAGCGCTGCAGAAAAAGAGGACCTCTGAAATCACTTACAAAGAAATCATCAAAAACAGCTCCAACGATGACACCTCCACAGCGAAACAGGTGAGATCCCCGAGGAGAACGTTGCGGTATTGAATGATAGTCGTGACCTGAAAAATCCATCCCTTAGATAGAGAAGGACCTGTTGCGGACAATGCCCACCAACGTGTGCTTCAATAACCTAACAAGTGTCGGAGTCCCGAGGCTGCGACGGGTACTTCGGGGCCTGGCCTGGCTTTACCCTGACATTGGCTACTGTCAGGGAACTGGAATGGTGAACGTTGATCTCCAAATATCTGCTTATCTCTTCGAGCTTTGTTTCAGCATCGATGCATTTTTTTTTTTTTTTTTTTTTTTTTTTTTAAGGTGGTTTCCTGTCTGTTGCTCTTCATGGAGGAGGAGGATGTGCTGTGGATGATGTGTGCTCTGATTGAAGACCTCCTCCCTCCGTCGTACTTCTCCTCCACCCTGCTGGGCGTCCAAACAGACCAGAGGGTGCTTCGTCAGCTCATTGTTCAATACCTACCGGCCCTTGACCGCCTTTTGCAGGAGCATGACATTGGTATGGCTCGTTTAGCTCAATATGAAGGAACTTAAAAAAAAAAACCTAACTGTATTCTAAATGCAACCTTTTCCTCCCTAGAGCTGTCTCTGATCACGCTGCACTGGTTCCTGACATCCTTTGCCAGTGTGGTGGACATCCGTTTACTCCTCCGGATCTGGGACCTCCTGTTCTACCAGGGCTCCTTAGTGCTCTTTCAAATCACGCTGGGCATGCTTAAGATCAAGGTCTTTAGTGAGATCAGATGTCGTAACGTCTTTTATTTCTTTCCTCAAATGTTATCAAACGGCAAGATGAAATCTCAAAGGTGTTTTTTTATCATCGAACGTTGCCGACTAATCCTCACAAATCCGTCTCCGTTGCCTCAGGAGGAGGAGCTCATATCGTCGGAAAACTCAGCGTCCATTTTTAACACGCTCTCCGACCTACCGAGCCAGTTGAGGGACGGGCCTGCGGTTCTCGGGGAAGCTTTGAGGCTGGCGGGCAATCTGTCGCAGGACACGCTGGACGCCCACCGACACAAGCACCTCGCCTACATCCTCAACGAACAGGCCCAGCTCGACAGTGGAAACGTGCCGCTCAATTCGAATCTCAACAAGGTCCGTCATTCAAGACCGGGCTTCAGTCGCTGAATTTGTTTTTAATGGCGACATCACCCGCTTTGCGTCCCTGTGCGTGAGCAGGTGGTGAGGAGACAGTCCCTGCGGAGAAAGTCCACTCTCAGCTCTCTGCTCTTTGGGGAGGATGAGGCCGAAGCGCTCAAGTCCAAGAACATTAAGCAGACCGAGTTGGTGGCGGCCCTTCGAGAGGCCATCACGCGCACTTCTGAGCATTTCCACTGTCTGGACCCACGCCACTCCAGCACTGTGAGTTCACAACACCGCAGCACCGAATCACGACGACGCTTGCAGAATATCCGATCCCTAAAACAAGACTTGTTGTCAAAAGATTAGCTAGCTCACTAGATACTTTCACCGTCTCACAAGGGGAAATGAAACGTCATGTTTTGAATGTGAAGTGTTTTGGCCATTTGTTTTCCACTGTAGGAGCTCACCCCTGACTACTCCATGGAGAGCCACCAGCGGGACCATGAAAACTTCCTGGTCGTGTCCCGAAACCGACGGAGACGAGCGAAGGCTTTGCTGGATTTTGAGCGCCATGACGACGATGAGTTGGGCTTCAGGAAGAATGATATCATCACTGTGAGATATGGCGCACAAGCACAGAATATAGCGAACCCTGATGACTGAGAGGAGCTGTGAATTTTTTTTATTTTATTTTTTTTAACTGGCAGATCATCTCACAAAAGGACGAACACTGTTGGGTCGGAGAGCTCAATGGTCTTCGAGGTGCGTATGCATTTCCTGTTGCAGTGCGCATACGCTAATTTTCCATAACTGCGTTGCTCTCAACAAACAGGCTGGTTCCCCGCAAAGTTTGTGGAGATCCTCGATGAAAGGAGCAAAGAGGTAAACAATTCACAAGTCAGCGGTGTCTTGATAGATGGGAGATTCTTTGCTTGTTGCTACAAAAATTGCTGCCGCCTTCTGTGTCTGCAGTACTCGTTAGCAGGAGATGACTCGGTAACAGAAGCTGTGACCGATCTCGCCAGAGGGACTCTGTGTCCGGCCCTGAAGGCCATCTTTCTGCACGGCCTTAAGAAACCTTCCATTTTGGGCGGGCCCTGTCACCCGTGGTTATTCATAGAAGAGGTACCGTAAATTCTATCCCGCCAAATTTCATGGTCCCACACCACCAACATCGTTCTCCCCCGCATCCTGTCAGGCGGCCAGCAGAGAGGTCGAGAGGGACTTCAACTCTGTCTACTCAAGATTGGTGTTGTGTAAAACCTTCAGGTAAACGCACACGCGCTTATTTGGTAGCAGTGGTGTAGATGTCCAGTATCTTGAATTCAAGGTCCTGGTTTTTATTACAGGTTAGATGAAGATGGGAAGGTTCTAACACCAGAGGAGCTCCTATACCGGGTGAGTAGTTTCTTAATGTAGAGTCCAGTTTAAAGTATGGATTTGGGTGATTCGTTGGCATTAAAATTAGCTTTCCCAAGAACCTTTAGAATTTTTTTTTTTTTTTTTTTTTTTTTTTTGTCTGAGGGCCATCTGTCTGCTCTCTTTAGGCGGTGCAGTCAGTCAACATGAGCCATGACGTGGCTCATGTTCAGATGGATGTCAAGTTCAGGTCTCTGGTCTGCGTCGGCCTCAAGTGAGTTCACGCACGCGCATGTGAGAATTAATTGTTTCGAAAGAAAGTAAAAGTTGAAAAAACGAGTTGAATCGAAACATGCGCGTGCATCTTTTCCCCAACAGTGAGCAGGTGTTGCACTTATGGCTGGAGGTGCTGTGTTCCAGCATGGCGGCTGTCGAGAAATGGTATCATCCGTGGTCGTTCCTGCGCAGTCCCGGATGGGTTCAGATCAAATGTGAACTCAGGTCAGAATTTGAAGAAGTAGAACTTCTGGATATTTTCCTTAGATTTGTGAGGTTTCATGGATTGATGTTTGCTATCGATACAATATAGTTTACATACAGGAGTAAAGTAAAAGTAACTTCTCTTTCTACAGGGTCCTTTCAAAGTTTGCCTTCAGTCTTTCGCAAGATTGCGAATTACCGGAGCGGAAGGAGGTAAGCCAAGAGAGTGGTTGCAGCGTACAGGAGCAGAAGACTCGTGTGAAATGTAGAGGGGAGCACATGATGTTTACTGGTTATGGATTTTTAAGGATCTACCATTCAGCAGGGACTTCTTTGTTAATTCCGCTCGTGATTGTCTCGTTTCCTCTGTTCAGCCACTCAGCTCTCCATTTTATCTTTGAATTACTCTTTTAAAGTGTTCCAGCGTTTAGTCTGATGTTGTTGCTTTGGTCCATTCTGTTCTAGGAGAAGGAGCAGAGGCCACTGAAAGAGGGCGTGCAGGATATGTTGGTGAAGCATCATCTCTTCAGCTGGGACATTGATGGCTAGATAAAAAATTGGGAAAAAACTGTATCCTCACATGAGTGTGTGTGTGTGTGTGTGTGTGTGACTTATGTCTTTTGAAACATCTTTTTGTCTGATCCTTGGACTCAACGTGGACTTTGTTGGACAATGGTCACACATTTCAATGACTATAAGCCTCCTGGTTGCCATTAAGGGTCACTGGTTTGTGTGAACTCAAGCGTGCGTGCATCAAGATGCATCCAATTGTATTTATTTTTTGTGTTCAGGGTGGTTTTGGAGGATGTTTTGTAAACGTTTTATTATAGAGGTCAAACAAGGTGAAAAAGAAGTACAGAATCATCTGTATTCACTGGACTGCAGCCCTTTCAGCCAATTTTTTGTTTTTTTTTTTTTGCTCCCCAACTAGTTGATTGGTGCACGAGGGAGGCTTGAGGGACATCCTCTTGTGAAGTGCAGCCACTGTTCTCTCACACCAAAACACTGGACTTTTCCATATCACTGACCAATACATTGAAAGACCAAAACTGAATATTCCTTAAAGCTTGTAAATTTTGAAATTATTTTTCACAGAAGTTATCTCATATTACGCTAAATGTAAAGTGCCAAGTACAGCCTTTAGACTGTGTATATTATCATATATATGTGTGTGAATGTGTGCTACCTGAACTTTGGTAGTGAATAATGCACGTTGAAGAAAAATGTTCTGCAATCCAAATAAAATTATCTGACGAGATACTTTTAACATCATACACAAGACTGGAGCCTAATAGTATATTAGTCACTCTTGATAAACAATTTTTACATCGAAAACAGACAATTAAAAAAAACAAGTATTGTGCAGCTCAGTAAAACCAGTTTATTGAGTTCTTAGTGGAGTAAATGTCACATTACCAGTAGCAAGCTGTAACACAATAGGTACGAGAGTCCACAATTAGCACTGCAAACACTGCATGTCTTACAATCATGAGCCACTGCTGGGGTGACAAGAACGAGTTTGCGATTTAGTTTGTGTTGGGTGGAGGCATGATGCAGTAGTACTGGTGGGTAGAAGAGCGCAAGTAATACAAGGTGGAAAATTAGGAACATCAAATATCCAAGGGTAAAATTTTGCATATGTGCCAAATAATTGACAGTTATAAAATGTAACATCTATTAGTTTCCATATATTTAGGATTGACAGGATATGTGCTTCTGTGCTACATTCAGTTGTATACTTAAACTTTGAATCCGGGTACGGCCAACAACTCCTTTACATATGAAGTATAAATAGTTCACAAAATGTTCTTTTAATTGCAATTTCACAGGGAATGAATGCATGGGCGAGTGTCACATTTTTTTTTTTTAGCTGCACTTATTTGTTTGGACCCTTGATGGGGGGGGTTACTTCCCTCCCTCTCATGAAGCCACTTTGAAAAACGATGAAAAATGATTGTGACAAGCTAATCTCCACTCCCTCGTGTAAAACGATTCTCAACAGTTATGGCAGATCTGACAACAAAATCCAAGCTGCACACTTTTTGCGGGTGTAGCTCTGAACATTCCCTTTACAATAAAACCCTGGTATAAAAGGCAATGAGGAGTAAGACTGAGGAGTGTTTTGCACTGAAGTAGCTGGAATGGAGTTATGGAGAGGGAGGCAAGCAAAGAGTTCAGCATCCTCCTGTTCCTGACGTGGAGGCTGCTGCTGCTGCAGAGATGTTCTGGCCTTTCCCTTTATGTCGCTGACCGCCTCTTCTTCTTCCACCTCCTCCTGTCTTTGGCTATACAAAAGAGAAATCAAAATGAAAAACAAAAAATGCACTTACTGCATGCGCACAAGTGTAGCAGAAAACCAAACTTGTGGAAAACTCCAGCAAGTGCCCATCTTACTGAATTCCCCCCCACTCAGGATCACTGTCACTCATGACCCACTTTACCTTGTTGTCTTTGTTGCCCTCCTTTAACTGAGGGTCCTCCTCCCCCTCCCCCTTCCGGGAGCCAGCCACGCAAGCAAAGGAGAGGGGAGAGCATGATACATGATGTACGACACAGTGTGAATGGATGAATGAGACATTCCAAGAATAGAATTAAAAAGACACAGAAGAGTTAAAAAGTTAGAGAAGCAGTTAGCAGGGTGAGTTCACAACATAAAGAATGAGCAGAACCCCTCCTGTTATGCCCCCCCACCCCCAGCCCTCCCCCCCAAAAACCATGCATCTCACCTGTTGTGTCGTGCTCGGGCCCGCTGACTGTGCTATCGTCAACCCCTCGTCTCCTGTCGCCGTGGTGCCGTCGTCTTTTCGAGCCGGTGCCTTTTTCGTGGACTGCATTTTAATCTGTGGAGGTTTGGAGTTTGACGGCAAATTATTGGTGGACTGCAGGAGCTGAAAAGAATGCGATAGGGAATGGTTTTGATGGCTGGCGTAAGCAAATCTCCTGCCCTGAAGGTAAGGACATTTGATTTTCCGGAAGCATTTTGACAAAACGCTTGACCATGCCTTTTGTGTTACCTTTGTGATGGTCCCTACAGCTTTAGTGCGTCCCTCCCTGAAAACCAGCCTCTGGTCACAGTGAAGGTACTCGGGGGTCTTAATGAAGCGGAAGTGGACGGATGCCTTGTCCCCGGTCCGTAAGCAGTCTCTGTTCATGGACAAGATGGTGGCGGTCTGCCGTATGCTGCCACAGTGGACTGTGAAGAGCGTGAAAGACTGGTTATGACAAGGTAAGCAACCGTTTCAACACAGTAGATAAACCGACATGCTGAAGAACAGAAACACAGCAAAACAGTAAAGCGCTGACATTTCTCAAACTGTCAGTGACCCACCCATAGCCTGGTATCGGGGTGATATCGTAGTCGGGTGATGTAGCACAAGAATCTCTGCCTCAAACTCCCAAGTGGCCTGCGGGTTCAACCTCGGGGACACCATCACCATGCCTTTCCTTATGGTGGAACGCTTGATCTGTATCAAACAGGATTATGCTGGAGGATCACGGAAATAATTGATCAACTACGGTATGTATTATTGGACTTTGGCTCAGTGGGCATTGAGGAATTTATCTGGAGACAAAGGTGGCCACTAGGGGGCGGTGTTTTCCCACTTACCTTTTTGAGCGCAAAAGAGGCAGTCTGTCCTCCCCGAACTTCCTTTACCGGCATTCTCTTGCGGTGGATTGATTTGACAGCGATGGAAATGAAGCTGCCCAAAGGGTCTGGCCCAAGTAGCATGGTGTCGTTCAGACGTATCAGTCCACGTAAAGTAGTTCCTGACACTACTGTTCCAACTCCCTAAGACAGGCAATACGGTTGGAGTTAAGTTTTAGCGCTTACCACAGTGCTGTGGCGTGCTCTGGAAAATCATAAAATTTAGGAGACTGTCCCAAAATAATTGAGGAAAAATCTATATTTTTTTCATGTGTGACACAAATGAAATGTATTATTATTATTAGTATGTCATCACAGGCTAAACTGACGTGTATCCACCTGTGGCCATTCATACAACAGGACAATAGCTTTGTATTCCAGACTTAACACTGAGTTAAGACTATTATTATTTCAGTGTATTTACTTTTTGGGACATTTTTGTGAACTTCCCTTTAATTATTCAGACGTAACGATGGTTGTAAAACACTGCTGTATAAATTACTGCACTGTTGAAACCACAGCCAGCAGACAATAAAATGGAAGTTTGCTGTTTGCAAGCGACACTCACGGGTACAGAGTAGGTGTCGTCAATCTGAAACTCAGCCGGCTGGTCGTCTCTGTAGCATGTGCGAGATGAGAGCAGGTTGAGAAACATCTTGAGCAGGTCCATGTTCTCTCCAGTCACGTTTGAGATTTGAAAAATGGGGCACATCCTACAGGAAGGCACACAAACGGAAGTTACTGAAGAGAGCTTCACTCTCGCAGTCTCAATCGGAAACTGCCTCCGGGCAGATTTTGTACCTCTCTGAGCTGAAGTTGGATGCCGTGACTATGACGTCGTCCTTGTTCTGCACCAGGACGGGGATTTTCCTGCAACCGGGGGACTTCAGTAACCTTTGAAGCAGCTTTAATGTCTCTGTTAGGAGCAGAGCACACAAAAAATGACGGCTTCTCTTCACATTTATTTTTAATTGCTCGACTTCAAGTCGAGGAATAATGTCCTGGTTATTTGGCCCCATGAGCAGTTAATTATGAATGTCTAAAGTAGTTTCGAATAAAATGTCCTCTGAAAAAATATTTTCCCTTTTCCTAAAATGTGTTGCACAATGATAATATGACAAACGAAATAAAGTGGCTACCACTGCACTCTGAAAAGAAGCAGCCAGCTAAAGCTGTGACTCATAATTTCATACTTTTCGAGCAAGCGTGCTTTCAACAACAGCAAATGGAGTATTCACATCTCAAGCAGGGAAACTGTTGAGAAAGTGAGCAAAAACGGGCACGTCAGACGACTTACCTTGAAGGATGTTGGCTGGACACATGTCAATTTTTGTCACCACCACAAACACGGGCACGTTGAGGGCCAACGCCAGCCCCAAGTGCTCTTTGGTCATGCCCACAATCCCTGCATTACTGCCGACCTGATAAGGGCGATGATGAATCTTAGATTAATCTTTTACTATTAAAGACCACTCTCAGATGCCACTTCTTACCATGAGCATGCAAAAGTCTGGTAAGTGTCCGGTCATTCCAAACACGGTGGTCTTCAGGTATTTCTCGTGGCCAGCCAGATCGATGAAGGTGATCACTTTCGAGGACTTCTCGCAGATTTTGGTCCAATCCAGACTTCCGCCGTGGCTATCCGGTTTGTTCACGACCTAAACAAAGAGATCAAGTGGACAAGTTGACTCAAAAGCTTTTCTCAGGATGATGTAGCTCACTTGTACTGTACATCGCAACTGACAATATGGCCAAATTGAAATTGCTTTGTATTGTGCATCCAAAACTCTCGGCAACAGCAGATGATGAATCCAGTGCACCCTTTGTGTTCCTCTAGTTCCTGGATATCAGCATTTATAGTCCAAAGCTGTCGCTGTCACCTGTCCTTCTTGGTCAAATCCGAGGATATCATTGCCCACGCTGCTGGTCCTGCCGCTTTCCATCTCGTGCTTGTGTCTGAAGAGTTTCTGGCGAGCGAAGCCTCTGCCGTTATCCAGTTCTCCATGTGTTAACACTCCTAGAAGAGTGCTCTTACCAGCATCCACGTTCCCAACCACTGCCACTCTAGGAGGAGGGAAAAAAAAAAAAAAATCATGCAGAAAATCTGTTGAAGCCCTTTAACGCAACAGATAAGTCTTTGACCACTCACCTGACCTCCAGGAAGTCCAGCTCCCCCACACGTCGACGTATCAAATAGTCCCGTACCAAACCCTCCGCCTCAGTGCGTTCCCTGAGCGGGATCAGATCAGAATCCAGTTGTGCACACATGGATCGCACTGTGGCCTCTGAAGCCTCCATGTCCTTTTCGTTGAGACCCCAGTCGCCACCATCTCAGAGGGAAAAAAAACAATTCAACAACAAGATCCAACGTATTATTTATATACAATTTTGGAATAGGATATCATGTTCAACAGCATGTGCGTCAAGTGAGTCACTCACCTGAACCCATCCCAACCACATAGATGGTCTCCCCAGACCCCTCCTCCATCCTGTCCCTTAGCTGGCTCAGTAAAGAATCATACTGCTCTCCATTTGGACTGACAAGGGCCAGCTTTATTGCATGCGGTAAAAAAGGCAACAACAAAAAAAACATTGTTACAGTAATGTTGGGGTGATAAAACAAGCTGCTGTTGAAAAAAAATCTAAAGTACTACGAGGCAAAATTTAAGGGGAAGGTGAATTTAAGAAAAAAAAAACATTTCACAACTACAGCTGCCCCCCTTCCCATGCTGTCATTTTTTTAATCATTGATAAGAGAGCATTACTACCATTGCTAGTAAAACTACTCTAAAACTTTAAACACCTTATTTTACCTCAAATGCATTATGTGCGCCGTTTAGGAATTTAAAATTAAAATGATTAATTGACATGAGAGGATGCCCAAGAAAGTGATGCAACCATGTGCAATGTAATGTGGCTGCTTCGTCAGTCTTTTGTGATGAGTAATTTGACCTCTGCAGCCAATTGAATATTATTACAACCACTATCCTCAGTTTACATCATACCAGCCGCTGAACCTGTATGACAGGAAACCTAAACAACAACGGACATTTGAGTGGGGGGCTCCGTTTGGAAAAGCAGCTCGAGCTGAAAATAACGCGCACATTTTGACAGTTGTCTTCAGGGCATAAAAAAAACTGGTTTGAATTTTTTGAGAATTGCATCAAATGTAACTCTCAAAAGATACACCCCATTTTTTGTAACTAAATGCGAGAAAATGAGACCACAAACGGCAGTTTGCCTCGATGAACTTCCATATGTTCCTTTTTGTTTAACCAGCTTGTTCGTGAACTCACCTTAACCTACGGTCACGTGTTGTTATTATTATTATTATTATTATGTATCCCTGTCATTCTCTACCACAAATGTGGGTGTGGGCAGTTTAAACCACGTAAAACAAACTGCCGTTATTACAACATTGTACTTTAATTGACATGTAACTTCATGTTTATTACTGCGGCTAGTAAAGCAGTCCGTTCCAGCTACGCTGGCTACTGTGGCTAGCCTTCGCGACAGCCGGCTACCTATCTCTACGAAAGCGAAAGAACCCTTGCTGTACCGTGTTTGATATCGTTCGTGATAAAATACACTCGGTTCCTAACATTAAACGCAACGTTGGCAAAACGAACACAACATTAAACGAAAATCTCATTCATTCGTTTTCACAAACAGCCAGCTAGCAGTAGCCGAGTGCCATCTCGGGCCTAGCTTCACCTTGCTCGTAAAGTCAATCCTTCGGTCCTTGGGCTCGCCGTTGACCATGTCGCCGTCCTCGTAGAGCTCATCCCCGGGATCGTCCACGCATCCTCCCCGGTCGGGTGCGAAAATACTCGCTGGGAGTAAGGCGTCAGCGAGCGCAGAGCTCGACTCGTGCGCCGACGCTGCTATCGATGCCATTTCTGTATGCGAGAAGTGCTCTCTGGTAGATTTGTGTCGGGCTGTCGGGACTGTTTGGGATGATGGCTTGCTGAGAACGTCGGATAGCGACGAGCTACACGACGGACGCTCTTAATTTTGTAAACATTGCAAATGCAAAAGAACGGGCTTTTGGTGAGCTGTCAGTTTGCTTTTCAAAATAACACGTTACCGCCCTGTTGATAATAATGAGGGGGGTGTTGATGAATATGTTACATGCTCGCCAATGGTCTCTCTGATTCTCTTGAATATGCGAGCAGAGAACCAATGCCATGGAGGGGGGGTCGACCATGTTTCTGTAGCCTCCTCCTCTCATGGTTCCGAATGGTGTGTGTGTGTGCAACTCTTGGGCGTCATACGTGGCCAAACCTGCCAGTCAAAGTCTATTACAGTTTGATAAACACAAGGGCTAACCGGGAAATGGCAATCATCAACGTCAGTCACTTTAAAACCATCCTGTGCTCTGTCACAGAGGACGTCAGTTAACTGTGACGTATGACTCGGTCGGGGTCTCGGCCACCTGATTCTATCTATCGATCGATCGATATATCTATCTGTCTGTCTGTCGTAGTGTAGTTTTATAACACTGAACTACAAAATGATAATGAAGATGTATGTCAATCCAAAATGAGAAAAGACCATGACAACATGTCTGTAGGGTAGGTTTGAATTGTGCCGTACTGAATGTGCACACTATCATCATGAAATATAGATCTGTGCTGTGTAACTTGTGTTACAAAGGTCTTTTGGTCACCAAAACTCCTGACTGCACTTCCTGATGGCGAGGAAGCGCTTGGTCCCTTTAGGGTCACCGGTGATTTAGGTATCATGAAGACTCTTCAATTAATTTTTGCAATGTGGGTGAATGTCCTTTTTGAAAACCCACGAAAGTATGGATAGCGTATGCAAACTCCATTCTGGGAGGCCAAAGACCAGAGCCGAGCCCAAAACCTGTTCAGTAATACAGTAATAGTCTTAAAAATGAAAATATTGGGAATTTTGGGAAATACCAGTAAAATAAAGAAATGCCTTATATTTTTTATTGACGTACAATTGCCATGTCTGTCCTCAGATGACAAGCAAACAATGCTTGCCATTGTGATTGAAATGCCTTCATCTCAACTTGCCCCGCAGTGGCGTCCCAACCCACTCCAAGCTGGGCTGACTGTCATATGATTCTCTAACAGGCTAAATCCAGTAGGTGGGCATTTCCACATTTCAGCTGAGCTAAATATTTAGTTGTCTCCTTGGTGACAAATTCATTTCCATCCCCGGCCCCTCAGCCTGAAGACTTAAAAGTTACAATGTGACAGGATAATGTAATGTCAGGCAGTAATTAGTCTCCCTTTCTGAGGGTCCACAGTTGCTTGTTAAAACCGTTTATCAGTGGTTTCAAGTCTCAACGTGATCTCATTGGTCAGAGTCGTCCGAAGGATGGAAGTTCTGTGGCTGCCCGGACTATCGATGAAATGGCGTCGCCTCCCCCTCCGCATAAAGCCTCCCGAGGCCAGTGAGGCGAGGCCCTGCACTCACCACTTCTTTTCAGCCGCTCATCACCGTTGACCACATCCAAAATCACAATGGCCGTAAGTAAAAGTTTCATTTGCGTTTCCGAGCATCTGTTTTTATACCTCGTGAACATTTAGTGCTGGGCTTTTTTTTTCTTTTCTTTTTAAATATCGCATGACACAGCAGCAAGAAGCACATGACCAAATGTCATTATACTTAAATTACAGTTCACGGATGGATATTTGTAACCTGCTGTGATTTCTTTTGAGACATCTGGATGTGTTCTGCTGCCTTTTATGGTCAAAGTATTCACTGCAGTGCTCCCATGAACATTTGCCAACTAACGGCTGAATTCTCAGCTGCTTCTAAGTCGGCACTTAAACTTTCTGCGTTCCTCATTTAATAGACTCTCTCTACAAGCTCACTGCTTGTTTGGCCACTCTAGACGTTTTTATACAAAATATCAGCAAGTTCCATCCCAAATCAGGCAACATTTTTTTATGGTCTCTTTGGACTCATAAAATGAGTTCATTCTAAAAATGTCTTGTCTGCTTTTGTTGGCTACTAGTACTGAACTATGAATGTGTCTGCTGATCATCATCATAAAACAAAAAGATGCCTTCTGCGAAGCTCCAGCGTCAATCCAAAATGAGCATGCTGAACTTTGGAAAGGCCGAATTTGTGATCCGCCTTGTATGTTGGATTCCCCTCGCAGACTTTAGGGCCCCGCACCATTTGTCGCGCGCGCCCACATATGTTGGATTCCCCTCGCAGACTTTAGGGCCCCGCGCCCACTTTGCAGTTGGACTCTTCTATGGAAAGAATGTTGCAGCTATACGATTCCCACAAGCCTGCTTTTCCTATCATGGCTTGGCTGGTCTTCAACCTCTAATTTTCGCTTAACGTGTCCAACGTGTCTTCTAAAGTGTGGCGGGATTGAACTCTGTCTCCTTGCCTATCACAGATTTTTTTTCAAAACCTTTTTTTTTTAAAAGTGGTGAACTTCTGTGCAGTACAATCTTCAAGAGGTTGCTGGTTGATAATCTTGAATGCAAAATGCAGATGGCAATAACTGAGATGAAAATTCTCAAATCATTGCTATATTTGTATGTGTTACATCGACTGTTTCCATGATCACATCCTCATGTAACACAAAAAGAAATGCCCCAATCCTGGGACGGCCCATTGACCGCTAATATACCATTACTGCCACGTGCACAGAAGCATTTTTGCTGCACTCAGCCTTTTTTTAACCCCCCCGAAGGATTTTTGAGGCAATTGTTACATCATATAGTCGCATATCATAACGAGTTCCTCAAAGTTTGCCAAGATGCGGTGCTGCAGAGAACCGGGACCTGGAATCCTTGAGGCTTCCATGAGTTGAATGAAAGATCTCGAAAGTTACCAAATGACAAGCGGAAGTCTACTCTTATGGATGTCACCGTTTATTTTCGTGATCTTTTCAACAGTATGCTTATGTCTGTGTTTGTTCTACACAGGGCATGGTTGTAAAGAACATGTCCTTCAAAGTAGGGCAGACGCTGACAATTGTCGGAAAGGCTCAGACTGACGCTACTAAGTAAGTCCCCCATCGCTCATTTCAAAGGTCTTCGCAATATTTAGCAGTAATAGTATCCGTGGTGTCTGTGTCTGTGTGCTGCAGCTTTGCACTCAACGTTGGCCCAAACGAGAAGGACATCACCATGCACATCAACCCACGTTTCAACGCGCATGGCGACACCAACGCGGTGGTTTGCAACTCTTACCAGGATGGCAAATGGTGCGAGGAGCACCGTGAGGGAGGTTTCCCATTCCACCAGGGGGAGGAGTTCAAAGTCAGACATCACTTTTTTTTTTTCTGATGTAATGTCAAGATCCAGAATTTCCTCTTGATTTTCTCCTTTTGCTTCTTCGTAGATCAACATTTTGTTCACTCCCGCGGAATTCCAAGTCTCTCTATCGGATGGCTCCGTAATCCATTTTCCCAACCGCATGGGCGCCGAAAAATACTCTTTCATCAGCTTCACCGGAGATGCTCGTGTCACCAGCATCGAGATTAAATAAAGCACAATGACTGTAGGATAGTTCTTTCAAATTGGTGCTTTGCAGCAGAGCTCACTGGACCCCATTTATTTGCTTACATACACATCATTTACTTACAAAAGTTGGAACCTTTCAAGAAATTAACTTTTTTTACAAATGGAAATAATACGGCCAGAGAGATGAAGGGATGTTTTAGAGAAGACTCACAATTTAGAAATGTTGACTAAATTCTATAATTGACTGTTAAAATAACCTAACTTTTTTTTTCATTAACTAAACTGAATTTCTCAAACATTCCAGACGTGAACCAATGCTTGCATTTAATACGTATTAAAGCAGGATCGAACGTGGACGGACTTTTGTGATTGTGGTTCATTGTGATTTCTTGTGAAATGTGTCCTGCGTGATAATCCAATTTAGCCGCTAGATGGCGCCATTGTAGTAATATTGAATACGGCAAGTCACTTGCCGAGAATTATGAAAAAAAAATAATGAAAAGCGAGTTACTGTAATCATAAGGTGCTGTCTAATTCTAATTGGATGCTGATGGCCTCATTTTTACTTGTTACTTCACCCGTGTAATGCAAAAATATATATTTTGTCACAGAACAAATGGAAAGTCACGGACTGGAATGTTATCTGGATCCATTCCAACGAAACCTGATTTTGAATGCTGGGCTGCATGCGATAGACGTGCAAGTGTTCATTTAATTTCATCTGATGTAACAAAAGGCAACGAGACAGATCTTAAGAGTTAGGAACCAGCTCTCTACGTCAACAGGTGGCTTTGCTTTGAGCTAGAATAACCCAAAGATGGACGCGTCCACTTTTGCAGTTTTAAAGCAAACTTTCTTGTCGGTGTCATATCTAATCAGTAGGCTTAATGACCGTTTCTTTATCTACATCAAATGGGAATCAAATACAACAGTGGTTCTTAACCTTTTTAGAGGTATCGAACCCAACCAGTTAATATGCGCATTCACCGAACCCTTCATGAGTTTAAAATATATATTTTTTTACAAATTCAAGATATTAAAAAAAACGCATTTATTAAAAACAGGAAAAAAGAGTTAATTAACATTTCAAGCGATCAGTACTTTTTTTTTTTCTACGACGTACTAGCACGACAGTCACACGTTGACTGCTAAGCGAACTAAATTTCCCACAGCACTGATTGGACGAGCAATGTCATGTGATCATCTGTAGCCAGTGATGGCCAAGCGGACGTGTCGTCACTAATTGACATGTTGAGTGGCGTGTGTCTTACCCATGCAAAACATGTATGATTTTTGTTTGTTGTGAGTGTAGAATATAGTACAAGCAAGTCCCAACATGACTGACAGAATGCGCAGGGGGACCATTGTGGCCATCATCAAATTGTTGTGATGTTTGTCCAATCTTCAGAGGTTGACACCACCCGGTTGCACAAACAAAGGGACGTCAACACAATACAAGTGAGAGGCCAAGATCGGCGCTGCAGAAAGACGAGAGCGCACACACCCACACCCTCTGAAAACATTTACCTGCACAGTGTCACCTCACTGGCTTGTGTGTAAACGTGAACTGTGCGGACTAAAAATGAATCTCCTCAGCTTACATAAAAACTATATTTAGCTCCCGCATGACTCCAGATTTCTGCACCAAAGCGATCAGCCTCACATCGAGATGCGCGTGGGCCCACTGCGGTGCTTGCCGCGTGTACATCCCTGCCTCTCCTGCAGGGTTACTTTTGGAACACGTTTTTGCATCATGTATCCTGTTGGTTTGTGGCATCAAGAATTTGGAGAATGATTCAAAATTTGTTAAGAGTGAACGTGCACGCATAGCACGGCGCTCGAGCGGCCTCCACAGTTGTGGGGTTCACCCGGAAGTTGCCATCTTGTAAATTCCTTTGACAATCCAAATGTGCTCTGCAAAGAGTATTACTGAGCACCACAAGGTCATAAATTTAATGACAAAAGATAAGCGCAAGAGTGTTTACAGTCAAATGTTAAAAACATTCATTTTTAACTTGCACAATTTCAGGGGCGCTCACCTTAAGAGAGTCCGTTGTACCGGAAACGCAGTAACCCAAAAGTGGTTTGAAGTTGTATCTCATGCCTGCTTGCATTTGGTTCAGAAGGGGGGGAAAAAAAGGACATTTTCGTCATCATCCATCTTGCCCTCCCTCGCCATGTGATTGCAGTGAAGTCTTGTTCCAGCTCACTAAGTGCATGTTTAGTCAGGATCTGTCTCTGCGTTCTACTCTGCACAATTGAGAGACAAATCACAGTGACACTTTGCTGGAATGTGTGTGTTGCCTTTGAATGTCCATGTTTTTCTGTTTTTTTTTGGGGGGGGGGGTGAGGTGGTGCATGCCTGATCTGTAACAAGTTTGGACCGACCAATCAGAGAACGGAAAAATGCTGCTGCCATCAAGGGTCAACGTGCTGGCTTTGAAATCCGATTGGTTAACAAAACATACCCATTTCTAATGTAGTTTATGTTACATCCATCGGCACTACGCGGCACCAGAGACGGACATCTGATTGGATAAAAAAACAAAAACAAAACAAAAAAAAAAAACCCTTCCAGCATCCACATCCACTTCTGGAAGCTGCGAAAGAAAGATCATCACGTATGATCTGAAGAAAGTACACCAAATATAAACTAAATAATACAGTTTCATGAATCAAAGCTTGTAAATGTAGGTCAGTGCTTGTGATAGTACCTTGCTGTCCCTGACCGCTCACCACCACATTGTATAAACCCATAAACGTCACTCTATCCAAACAAAACCACACTGCTGTCAACTTGACTCCACTTCCTACTTTTCCTGCACGTCTATCTCAATGTTTGGATCGATACAAGCCCACTGCGTAATAGAATTAGACTCTAATGGGAAATACAAAACTTGCTTTATATTTACTAAATCCCTCTTGGGGACTTTTCTGGCTAGGTAAGAAAGGACCAGACTGTGAAATGAGACGATAGTCAGAGATGAATGTACACAATTTGTGTGTGCGTGTGTGGAAGGAATGGAGGCATTCAGCAAATAGACTTGACAGTGAGTCAAATGGGTTTAAATTCTTCCCTTGCTGCTTCACTGTCAAGTTGATGGATGTGTGTTGAGCTTGCAGAGGGGGCGCAAGAGTGGAAAAACAGGACTTGGATTTTGAAAAAATGTTTGACTGTAGAGAGTACAAAATGGTTCTTATTGTGCTTGTTGTTATTGTAAGAGTGATGATTCATTCATTTTCTACCATTTTTCATTTTCATGGTAAAGAGAAAACTGGACCATATTCCAAATGACTTTGGGTGAAAAGTGGGGGGGACACACTGTACTGGGTGCTAAACGATTGCACTCCGCCTATCACCCATTTTCATAATTGTGACTGATATCACCTCACGAGGCTGATCCACTCAAAGCTGAACACATCTATAAAACTGCTGAATGTTTCATCGGAACGCAGAGAGGCCCGAGTTCAAGTTTTCAAGAAAAAGTAGGTGTCTACTTCAGGGGTGGGCCACTGATGGTCTGTGGGCCGCATGCCCCTTAAAAAAAAAAAAAAAAAATGGGTACAGTAACAGTATGTACCGCATTTGCATTTCAGCAACAGAGACTCTCCACACATCGCTTCTTGAGCCTTGGGTACAAATCCAATTAGAGCTAAAATTACATTTGATTGCGAAACACAATGGATAGAATTGATTCGTACGTCTTGGTGCTGCTGCTGCCATCCTGGCATGTGCATTAAACCAGGAAATGGATATCTTCGTTGGGGAAACTAATTTGATCCAGACATGAAATTTTTTGAGTCGCTGTGACATTTGTGACATTGCGTTGCCGTTTACTGACAACTCCAATTTTGAATCATACATCGCAAAACCAGTGTGTCATAAAACTTTGCAGTAAAACGCATTTGTATTTTATGTTCAGGGGTCCTGCGTTCCTCTTTTTGCAACGCAGCTGTTCGTAATCTTGTCGATTTGCCCATATCCAAAAAGGTCACGCCCTTGTTGAGAAAACAATAGGAAGTCGAACCAAGGGAAACAAAGTGGGGAAATGATAAAAGGTGACACCCAAGGATGGGGTTTGGGAGAGGAAAAGAAAGAAGTAATGGAAAGCACTGAAGGCCACATGGTGCTGCCTGAGGAATCAAAAGTTAACTTTTGAGGAAGTCGACAAGTCTGGAGAGAACAAGTATGCAGGTACAAAACATTTGTTGCTGAGATGGCTGTAACCCGCATTGGTGAAAATCATTCAATAGAAAAGCTAAGCGCCTATAGTTCCTTCTTAAAAATCTCTCCAGGCTTCCCATCAGCAAACTAAGACGACTAACTAACTACTATCATGTTTCAACATGGAAGTTTCCTGCTGAGCAGCCATCTTGTACTGTTTTTTTTTCTCTTTTTTACCCCCACTTTGTGTGGCTAACATCAATGGGCAACACGATGCGACAGTACAACCCACATGTGTTTAATTAATGTTTCTAAAGAAAAGCTGTTATGGCAAATCAGGGCGCTATCAATTGTTAATAGTCATGAGATATGGTCGCTTCATTGTCATCATTAAAAGACGCAAGTTGCCGGAATTTGCCCTTCCGGTATGTTGCGCCAGCTAATTGCCTGACCCAAGCATCGTGTTCTTCCTAAGTGCCAAGCAAGACAAAGCACACAGTCAGCAAACCCCTCGTCCCCCCCCCCCCCCCGCCTCCCACCCTTCCAGCTGTGCTCCCGAAACTTCAATTATTCACAACTTATGAATAACGCACTTCACCTCAAACTGGCAAGTGGGGGTATTTTTGCACACGACGGCGTGAATTAGTCATCACCTCACAATGGCAAAACATACCATTTTTCATTCCTCCGCCCTTCTCCCCACTGACTGGAAAAAGTGCCACGTTTGTTGTCAATATATGTGAAGAATGACTGCCGCCAACGTATACAGTGTGCTTCAAGCCTGGGGGGGGGGGGCGGCTCTTCGTGGGAACTGACTTAGCATGTGAAGTCAGGTAGTCATGTTTAATTGATCTCAAATCCTTGCAGTCTCACTCTCTTTCATGTCCTTTACGTTCAGTAAGGAACAGTCATTTTTAGTGAGCATAATATGAATACTGTATTGTGTTTGGCAATATGTTGTGGTGTCTTTTTATTCATTTTTTTTTTTTGAAAGTCTTCATTTCAAGAATTCTTGATCCCATTATAACGCCGATCTTGCGGCCCTCACGATTCGTCTCAAGCGAATTTAAGTCTGACTCTTGTTGTTGCAGGACACGCAGTGGAAAGAGAGGACGCCTGATGTGCGTCGCGATTGGGCAGACGTGACTGGAGTCAAATCAGCGCGTGGGTGGGAAAGTTGCATGATATGAACGATTGTGCGGCAAAATAAAAAAAGGTCGTTCAGAGGACACCAGACTATGAAAAGGCCTATTCAGCGGATTAGATTGAGGACGTTTGAAAGCAAACGTGACATTAATATGAATGTTAACATTGGCATGAACTTCACGAAGACAACTGGTTACGTTTGTAAGACAATTAGGGAGCTTGATTATGTGGGATAGCAAAAAAACATTAAAAGGCAATATCCCAAATGAAGTCATAACATACATCAAACATTCTCAAAATGTGGTACGATTTTTGAAAGTGGCACTCGTGGCTCTGTCTAGGGGAAGGTGAAAGAATCACTGAATTACCACACTGCAGAAAATGCAACTTGTATTTTAAAGTTGGAAGACTTGTAAAAACAATAATGACTGACATTTATGGCATTGACATTGTAGAAACAGCAATTGACTCGCTGGGGTAAGTGCATGAAAGTGCATTGACACCGATAAACTGCAAGATCTCCTCTTGCGGATGATGTCGCTGTGACATGGGCAATTGGAGATATAAAAATGCATTTCAAAAATGATTTATTAATTTTCGAAGAGCTGTCCGCCCCCCCCCCCTCCACCACCCCCACAGTCTGTCACTGACCTTTAGTGACTGTCGTGTGCCTTGTGCTCATTTAATCCCTCTCCAAAGTATGTTCTTGTCATGTGTCAAAACATCTTCGCACTCGCCAAAGATGACCAAGCAGCATCTCTTTCTTTGCAACCCCCCCCCCCCCCCGGTCCCCACCCCCCCCCCCCCCTCGGTCCCCACCACCTTTCGGTGGCTTCAAGCCGTGCGCGTTCACGCTGCGACGGTGCGCGCCACGCTTGTCCGATCGCATGAACACATTCAACACTCAACCCGATTACTTTTATGCACCGCTCCGTGCGTTTGCTTGCCTGCAATTACAACGCCGGTGTGAGCTGCTTGGTACTGTTAAAGGCTCTAAACACGACTCGTTAAATATGCAATCCGGAGTGGAACGATTTCCCGATCGAGTTTAAGAACGCTGGTTGGTGAGGTCCGAAAACATAACGCGAAAGCAAAGGACAAAGCGAAATGCTTTTTTTTTTGTTGTTGTCATTTTAACACCGTTGAAGGAGTGAATCGCTCTCTATTTTAATCCATCAGGTGCATCGACATTCATTTTCTCTCTCTCTCTCTCTCTCTCGCTCTCCCTCTCCTTCTCTCTCTCTCGCACACTCAGATGTCTTCAGTGAGAAGAGGTTATGTTGTGGCGCGCTGCGGGAGAAAACTACAAACAAATGCGGGGGGGGGGGGCAGTTTTTTTTCCCCCATTTTCGTCTTCGCCTGTTCCACGAGGATGAGAAACTAAAACGTGATGAAGTGAAGTCGTATCGGATTTTCTTCCTTTTTTCTTCTTTCTAACAAGTTGCAGTTTTGTGAGGAAACACTTTTTGGAACATTTGCGAGTAGGGCTCCTAAATTGGTGTTTTTACACGTTCCGTGGACGAAAGGAGTTTTATTTTTCTCCACCGAACACACGCTGGGTCGAAATTATTTTTTTTCCCTCCTGTCGCAGCGTGCTCGATCAACGTGACTGAGGGTGGAAAATAAAAGTGTCCCCCCCAACCCCGAAAATTTCAGCGCACGCACGCAGCTTCAAGTGAACTCTCGAATCTTGATTGACTTTTGACGATTTCTTTCTCCGAACAGAGCTCAAAGAGACCCCCCCCCCAGCCCCTGCAACCAACCTGGTCAGGTGGGAGACGTTATTGGAAATGTGAGTCCAAAAAGGAGGACCGGTGCGCACCAGACGGAGCCACAGAGGGCTGCAACGCGCATAAAAAAGGAAAGAAGGGGAAAAAAAATCCTCCAGCCGGGCTTGGGAGCGTGTTCACGGCAACACATGGGTGACATTTTTGGAGAAAAATGACTTTACATGGACTGATGGTGGCCAGAGGATATTGATTCTTGATGATGCGCACCGAGCTGGACCCCCGAGGCTGGATTGTTCAGTAATTCCTGGACATCCTCTTCGCTTTTATGACAGTCAAGGTAAGTTTGACCCATTTTCTCCCCCCATGTTGACTGTTTATCATTGTTCATAGGTTTGTTGTTCGGGGAACATCCGAATGGAAATGCATTGCAAGTGTGGGAGGTGTCGCTTGTGCATGAGACCTATTCTTATGTTCACGTTGAAAAAAAATGGAATCAAAAGGCATTTATTTCTCTTTATCTTGCAATTATGAGTTGGTTCGAACGTGTTGCCGGAGCCCAATTGTGCTGCTACGTTGCTGTCCGTGGTGCTGGATAATCGTTTGTCTCTCTCATACTGACGCACACAAGTTGAAAAGGGGAAGGGGGGGGGGGAATCTCTTGTTTTTAACTTGTCTTATTGAACGTATGAGGTGTAACCGGGAGTCCTTTCGCATCAATGTCAATCGATCGGCGTTTCTATGTATGTCCTGCATATGTTAAAGCGGTGCAATCTTCAGCTTGGTCCACTTCATTGGTACACCACAAGATCATGAGAAGCAATGTGAGCCCGTCATCAATTTCTATCCACCCCTCCTTGATAACTCAATCATTTTACGACATGTGTTTTTGTTCTTATCGTTCCAGTTGGCAGGGGAGTAAAAATTGGATTGCATGGCACTGTAACGTTTTCCTTTGAGTAGTTTTCTGACTTCATCAAACGGGCTTACCGTGCATGTATTGAATCCCGTTGCAATGTGTAGTTGTACATCATAATGTGGCCGGGAGTGAATAAGCTGCCGTAACAGCCACTTCAGGGTGACGTGACGTGATGAAATATAGTCTGACTCTTGCACTGTACCAGCGGGTTCATTCCTCCGCATAAGGCTGCCATCGTTTGAATCTCCAAGTAACATGATTGGATTGCACACATAAACAAGACTAATGCTGAAGAGGGACAGCTTTCCACTCTGCCATCCTTCCCCCTTGGATGAATTTAATGCTTCATGCTGCGGAATTACCGCAAGTCCCGAGCTCACTCCTTAAAGGCCTTCTAATAATGAAATGCCCTGGAGTGCCATAACAAAGCAAGGGGCAATTATTTCCAATGAACTTTGACCCCCTCGGGACAACATAACACTGAGCCCGATCGCACGTTATTTGTCAGCTTTCGCTAAGGCGCCTCACCTCAGGGAGCGTGACATCAGCGCGTGTTTCATTTGGATGGTCAACTGTATTCAAAGCGATGCCATGTTAAATTTGAGCCATTTGACGGAGAAGCCGCATGGAGACTCGGCTAATGACAAGCAAAGGAGCGATCGACGCACTGTACCTAACATGGGTGGTACAATTGTGATATCAATCTTTGTATAGTTGGTAAGAATCAGGAAAAATGACTTTCTTGTGCATTGGTCACTCGCTACGCTGTAAACAAATACAGTGCAGCTCAGCCTTTGGCAAACGAACATCATAGCTGGCATAATATGCTTTTGGTGGGATGTCAGAGTAATTTGAGACTGTGTTTAAAAATGTCATAGTCCAGATATGCAATTTCAGAGGCTATTTTCCATCCCGAAAAAAATCCTTTATTGTTCTTATCTTTTATAAAAATGAGTTGAGACTTTGCAACATGAGGACGACAGTTGAAAACCTTTGCTTGACATTACTTCTCGGGTTGAACGCAATCAGTCCGATTCCTTTGGATTTCGACACCGTTTCACTGCGGGAAATAATGCATAAAGAAATAAAGTCTGAAAAAGAGTCCGTAATCTCGGGAGTTTCGCTGCGGTCTCGTCATGTGCTGAGGGTTGTAAAACAGCCACAAAAAGCCAAAGAAAAAGCCTGTTGTAGGATGATGTCTTGTGTCGTGACGTATGTGACGATGGCTCAAAGCTTTGAGTTTATTTTACGTGAAAATTGAATTCAAATGCTTGATTTGATCACTTGAAGGGGTTCGAGTGTACATTTGAAGTTCTCGGTATTGTGTGCATTTACACAGAAGCACCCAAGTAAGGGCACATGGATGCCATGTCTGGTTCGCCATGGGGGGGAGACAGCAGCAGCAGCCGCTCTCAGTAACTTGAAAGTAACGGGAGATGGTGTCAATAGGGAGAAATGAGCTCGAGTCAGACGTGAAAATGAGAGACATTCCTGCAGAGATAAGAAGAAATGCATAATGACCAGAGGAAAGACGGACAAGAGAGGCTGGGAGTCAAAAGGAAGGGGGGGGTGGGGGGTAGTCGAGTGCATCAGAGCAACACGGGGGTGAGGATGAGAGAGGGATCAAGTGAGGAGTCAGGGGAGATGGAGGCTAAGTGTCCAGTTGGAGGGGATAAAAACTAAACCAAAAAAAAAAAAGGAGAAGAAAGGGCCCGTGAGGTGGATGCGGGTGGAGGCTATTGTGAATGCTGCCATGAGCCAGTGGAGTAAAACAATGGCTGTATAACGGTGTGCTGAGGGCAGCCACATCCTCCGCCTGGAAGGCTTCCCACAAAGGCCCGACAAGGCGAGAGAGAGTCAGACAGCCTGAGTGAAGGAGAGCGAGCGGGGAAGAGGTTCGATTGCTGCCGCTGTTGATATTCTCCAGTATAGAACAAAAAAAAAAGTGGAAATGTGGCAGGTGGAGGCAGGGACACCAACAGTGTAAAAATGACACACAGAGGACAAAAAAACAACAAAAAAAACAATATAGAGCTACAGTATGTAGCAAAACTGAATTTGATTCCTATCACATCCCCCCGTCGAATTTAATGCTAATTGCCCTGCAAAACCTCCAGATAATGATCTCGGAGCGGCCCTCGTCTTTATAAAGATTTATGGGAAGACAGACTCCACATACAGAGTAGTTCAATGTGCTTTGTATATACTGTCGAGTTAGGCCAAAAATTATTCATAGCTTGGCTACAAATTTTTTAAGTGCCGTTAAAGTGAAAATAAATGTCTTCTAAATTCAACACGACACTAAAAAGAGCGTTGTTAACAACCCTGCAAAATTTCAATCCTTAAAAATGAGACTCCAGGTATGCTATTTTCTCTGTTCTCAAATGCTGTGGCCGTGTCCCTTGAGGATGGTCAGGTATCAAGCAAATACTGCGACTTCTACTTGGAAAATGGAGACTTCTTCGTCCAGCGTCCGTATGTCTAAATATAGTGACTTGTTGAGCGGCGTAATTGTATCCACTTAGAGCCACTGGTGGCTAGCTGACGAGGGGACAACAATGAGGCACTTTAAAGCAGTCAAGCCAGTGTGAAGGCGTTGTCTACACGCTGGTTGTCATATCAGATTTACAAATAATCTGAAGCCTATCCCAGATAACTTCGGGCGAAAGGCGGACTACACCCTGAACCGGTCGCCAGTCATTCGCGTGTCACATTTAGAGACAAACAACCATTTACATCCACATCCACACCGGCACTGAGTGGGAACTGATCCCACACCGCCTGTTTAAAATCAGCGACTTACTTACAAATGAGAAAATTTAAAAAATGTATCTTTTGGTCAGATCTTTTTTTTTTTCTTTCTTGGCACATCCTGCAATCGTGAGTCACATATGCCTCCCAGCGGACCGGGCTGTGGACTCATGCACAGTCACCCACTGGCCGCGCCGTAGTGTCATAGCGAATATGACCACAAGTGCGTGTGACCAACGGGATGGTGGGGCAAGCATGCGCGCTTGACATAAATCGTATCCGGGGGATTATTAATGTGGGAGCTCAAAGAAAAAGATACAGCAGTTGGCGAATGAGGACCAACAGTTTGGGGGAAATAAAGCAACTTAACTGCCGTCAAACAAAATTTCAAGTCCGCGAAATCCTGCAGAAATGACGTCCTATCATGGACATGGTGAATCGAATGGCAAATGAGAAAAAATAAAATTCCCTCCGACAAACGTGGGAAAAAACAAAATCACCAGCATAATAATTTGTCTGTTTGTGAGTTAGCTTGACTCCTCAGGGGTTGACATAGAAAGATGGAAGACATCACTAACAATCATTCCTCTCCTTGAAACTGGATATGGCTTGAGAGAATTTTTTTTTTTCCCGATGCGATAAATGATTTTTTTTTTTCCCCCATTGTTTATGCACTACCAATTAGAATTCTCCGTCTCAGTCCTAATTGGACTTGCTGAACAGACAAGCAGCTGCTCTTGTCGTGAGCAACATGAGAAGGTTGGTTTCATCACAAGACTTGTCTTGCGCTTCCCGCTTGCAGCTCGCTTGTTTCCCACCAGTCTGCACCGGCAGTTTTAATATAATCATTATATCATGCTTACTTCACTCTGGAGAGGGCTCGTGATGTTCCAGATGAAGGCCTCGCATTTCTTCCTGGTAAATCTTCCGACTATTGGTATTGATGTCGCATCTATTCCTCTACTGGCCTCACATAAGAGACGAGGAAGAGTAGAAATAGATCTTCCACCCTCAGCCAGAAGGGAACGGTGTTTAAAGGTTGTGTAACCTGTTTACACACAAGCAACGGTGCGCTTGTGTTGTCGTGTTCGAACAGTTTGCAGTTAATCCAGGTGCTTCCGCCGGGGTGCAACAATGGCTACAAAACCGCTTGCAGCCGCACGTCTCCGACTAATCTCCGAAGACAAGCCGCAATGTGTGGGCCATCACGCTTCATCTCCATGACAGATAATTGTATGCCGCGCAGCGTGCGAGTGTTGGGATTTGTTGTAGGTCATGTCAAGGATTAGCACGAGACTCGTAGTGGCTGCTTGGATGTGGCTGACTTTGCGAATCGACGCACTCTTGGATTCGTGTGTAAATTGGTGATCGGTGTGATGCCGGTGCGGGATTTCATGTCGAATGTGGGAACTGCAAAACTAGCGACTAGCAACCCGCTGTGACATCAAATCCACGCAGGGCTGGTGTGGATGTGAGTGGAAATGTTTATCTGTTTTGATACGTAGGAGACTGAACTGGTTCCGAATTGTCTATGTTGATGTTTAAAAAAATAAATCCTTTGTCGTGTGTTCACAAACACCCCTAGAGAATTTATTTTGTGATTTCCTTGCTGGATTTTCAATTTTGGCGCATTATTTTCGATTTTTCTTTGTGCCATTAAAGGTATCATT